GAAGCTTGGGTCATGGAAGAGAACGGTTTGAAACCAAGCATGTGATAAGGGCTTTATCGTTGAGTTGTACCATATAAATGAACTTTCTACCTGTTACTCCTTCTATTTTGATCCAACGATAGAAACAAGACATAATCGTGAGTCAAACAACTTTGCCCTGGATATCCCTAGTTGTTCGTAGACCAAAGATGGACTAAGCATGTTCAAGGCTCCATCTCGTCCACTATTCGCAAAAGGTGGGAAATAGATAATCTTGAATAAACATGACCTGGAGACTATCTATAGATATGTTTTGTTCAACTATGTAGAAGTTAACCTTTCCAGACGACCTTTGATGAAGATATTCGAGAAACATAACTGAATATTGATGATGTTGCACTTGATGGAATCTGGGAAGAATGTTTGCTGATTGGTTCCCGCACCATGTGAGTATATATATATACTAGCTAGTATTAACGGACTGCAATGACATACGTTATGTATTTCTTACGTGTGGCCTTTTTTTACAGGTCATGTTCGAGTTAAACGACTCAAGGGAACAATTGAAATCACACACTAAGCATAGCAATTTTATCAAAAGATTAATTGAATTTTTATTCAACCCTATAGAATTATAATTTTCATTTTTTTATTGAACATAAAAGAAAAAGAAGAAACAAATTTATCATTTTTTGTTCCATCGCTGGATATAATGGAAATGCAAATAAAAGTTTATAATTCCCCGTCTGTAAATATCTAAATGTTGATGCCTAATACCCCATGGGAGCGACTTCAAAAATAAACCTAACGACATTGCCTTGGAACTTTAAAAAAAAGAATCTATTAGAGGGGGAAATGAAAGATATTTCTCTAGTACGAAATGAGCTACTTCAAATAGATTCGTTGCTCTGGCCCAGAATACGATTAATCCGGCATGAGCTACATGAGCCCCTAGTGGTTTACCAGATAAATTGATAAGCTGGGCATTGTCGACCCACCAAGCGAAACTGATGGTTTATTGGTCACGACCAGCTAAAGCTAAAGTTTCATTAAAGAGCGTTTCCACGGGGTAGAACCTCCTCAGGGAATATAAGGTTTTCATGAGGCTGATCTTGAGCCCTCAAAGTTATGGAGTAAGACATTGATTTTTCAATAAGATCAATTTTTTTGATTGCATGATGGACTCCCCTGAAAAACATCGTTGCGCGTGTAAACGAGGTGCACTACCAACTGAGCTATAGCCCTTAGTGCTTGTAGTACATATTTTATTATGTACATAATTTCTTGTCAAGAGGAATATTCTCAAGATGACTATTCCATGATCTAAGATCATAGTGATCGGTATTGCTTCTAAGTAATATCAATTTATAATCCATCGATGGGATGAGTCCCGTTTGGTTTTCTTTGTGAAGAGTTCTTGTCTACCGTTGGCCTCTATGGTAGAATCAGTCGGGTGACCTGAGAGGTGGTGGTTTACCCTGCGACGGATGTCAGTGGTTCAAGTCCCTAGCACGCGGACAAGGTCATTATGCCACAATGCATCAGGGATACTCTGTGAATGGTTACAAGTTCCATACGATAAACCATGAATCCTATTGGGTTACCCATAATAATGGTATTTGTGTCAGTGGGACCTGCTATGACGAGTGTGAGTTAACGGTGTTCATTTTAAGCTCAAATGAACATCACATATTGTGTGATTATATAACCTATTTTTCATTACTATAAGGGTACCCGTACGATGCAGCGAGATATATCTCGATTTTAATGTTTCGTTTTATTCCGTCTCTGTAGAAGTTTTAAGACGGTGTTTATGTGGTTTTGAGAAATGGATAATGTTTTTTTTTTATATAAGATATAGATTGGAAGATATCATAAAATTTCAAAAATAAATATATCAATATTAGTATCAAATTAACTATTTAAAAGTTCTTGTTTTTTGTGTAATTCATTTTTTTATTATAATTTAATTTAGATTTGATAACGAAGTAATTTATTTTTGATTTAATAATATAATTTTTACAAGGATAATAATTAAGTATTCTGTTAGAACTCAATGACTATCCTAATTATATTTTAGTTTACTAGAAGCGTACTCGCGCAATGCAGCGAGATACATCGTGATTTTAATATTTTATTTTATTCTTTATCTCGGTCGATATTATAATATGG